GTTATCAGCCCGGGTGAAATGGGGCCTGGGGTGCCTGCCGCAGACGGCACTCAGCCAGCGGTGCCCCAAGCGGTACTCGGTGCCACATCCAAAGGCTTAAGGGAAGAGATGCAGTAATGGTTTCCCACGCTCATGCAGCAAAAACAGCCTGGTCTGGGAATGTACAACCGCAGAGGAAGCCCCTGGCGAGGGGATCGTATATGCCACAGCTCACCAAGGCGATGCTTGGCGAGAGGGTCTAGAGATCCCAGCTGAGGTCAGGGCATCATCAGACACAAACACACAGTGAGAGACCGTCCCTGTCCCCATAGACAAGGAGTGGGAGGGGACAAGGTAGTGAAGAGAGTCCCCGGCTGGAAGCCCAATCTGTGAGCTTGTAGGCCAAGGGTTCGGTCACCACGCCACTGCCAGCTCAACCCACTCAGCACAGCACTTGTGTCACACCCTGTGGAAGGAGGGGCTCTGTGTCCCAGCAGGAAGTAGGGTTGCCAGGTGTCCAGTTTTTGCCCGAACGATTCATTATTTCTGGCCCCTCTCTGGTAAAAAAAAAAAAACCCAAAAATACCGGATGTGTAAAATGTCTGGTATTTTCTGTTTCTCTCGGATGGAAGGCTGGTGGGGACATTCTTTCCCTGCCGTATCTGGTGTGGGGGGGGGGAGCAAGGAGCATGGGGATATTTAAAGGTGCAGCAAAATTTTTTTTTTTTTTTGTTCAACAACTTTGGCTCCCCGTTGTTGTCTGTTGTTGTTGTTTTTGTGCTCAGCCAAATTGGTTTTTTTTCCCTGCCATGTTCGGGATTTTTTGTGAAAGTTTCTGGCAACCTTAGAGGGAAGATTTCACGGGAGGCGTCAGGAGCACAGCAGGGCTAGCATATGCCAAGGGCTGAGGAAGCCCTGAGCTCTTCTGTGTGGGGCAAGCATGGAGGAGCAGCAGTTGTGCTTGCTGATGGGGGAATCTCTTCAGGACAGCTGAGTGGCACAAACCTGGCCTCCCCATTTCACACGGGCCAAACTTTGGCCTTCAGAGACAGATTCCCACAAATTCTCCCCCCCTCCCCCTACTCCATTGCAGCTCAGGGGCTAGTGGGATGTTCAAAATGGGGCCTTTGCTTTGGCCTCCTCTTGGCATCCTAAATGCTCACGTCGCTGCGGACAGCTGCTGACCCGACTGCTGCCCTTGGGCTTTGCTGCATCACATTCCCTTCAGCTCAGGCCAGGGCCCGTCTCCGGAGATGGCTCCAATTCGAATGCAGGGCCAGCCAGTGGCAGCCTAGCAGCGCTGAGAACCCCCTGCAGTTCCAGCCTGTTGCCACCAGATAGCAATGTGGCTGCACTCTTTGAAACGCTGCCTTTGGCAGAAGGTCTCCCAAGCTGGGGTGAGTTCAGGTGCCTGATATTTCACGTGGTGAATCTGGCTGCTGCTTGCCAGGCTCTGGATGTTGATTGCCTTTGCATCTGGTTAAACCATCTCAGGAAAAGGCCCTGCGGCGTTGTAACAGAGCCGGAAAAGCAACCCGGGGTCCTGCTAGCAGCTGTTATGCTTAGAAGAAGCACACGGGATCTTTTTCAGGGGAAAAGACAATACACAAGAGAATACAGTAGAGAAGCAGTTAGCATATGCTTTATAAAGACAAACCCAGATACAGACACACACACATACAGGTCCTGCAGATGGTGCATAGTTACCAATCCATGGTGACTCAAGGCTGATTGAGTGAGGAGTCGGGGTTCCTCTGAGGCTCCTCTGAGGCTTGGCTTGCATGACTGAAGCCAGAGTCCCAGGGCAAGAGCTTCCCTTCTTATACAGGTAAGTTCCCATTTGAGTCTATGGGTTTTGCAGTGTCATGCTGCCATCATCCACCCTTAGGAGGTGTTAATCTGTGTTCTCCAAGGCTGGGTCTAGACTGGCAAGTTTTTCCAGAAAATCATCTGCTTTTCCGGAAAAACTTGCCAGCTGTCTACACTGGCCGCTTGAATTTCCGGAAAAGCACTGACGATCTCATGTAAAATCATCAGTGCTTTTCCAGAAAAACTATGCTGCTCCCGTTCGGGCAAAAGTCTTT